TCCAAAGCGTGACGTTCTAACCCTTTGGTTAGATTGATACCAACCTCGTTGTTCCCAACCCGCTTCCAACGCCTGGTTACCAGGGTAACTGCACTGATCCCCAGTCTGCCTACCCCGTTGTGAATTGATCTTAGACAGGCGAGATCAAACAGGGGTTGGGGCCGTAATGCTCTGAGTTGAGTCCAACGGGGTGATAACACACAATTATGTATGAAAGAAAAGAAAATAAAACTCACAAGGTCCAACATATCAAAGAAAAAGGTAACAAACTTTTTATGTCTATTTACTTTCGGTACATAGAACTATGTCTACTTCCGACCCGTTCTGTGGATTGTGGCACGACGCTTTTTTTACTAGGCAACTTTAAGGCTTCAAGTTGTCTGCTCTCTAAGAAATTTGTGTTTGATTGTGTCTTTGGACGAAAGTTTAAAAAAAACTTATTTCTGTGGTCTTGATTCTAAGTCGCTCTTCAAACTACTTGTTCTTGGTTGAAGAAGAGTCCAGAAGTGTGCGTGAATCTTGGTCAGCTATCTTGATGCGGTCTTAACACTGGGCGCTCATCTCTGCTTGTAGTCCGCGGCTGAACTCTCCAGAGTCTGAATTACTGGTCACTCATCTTCGCCGTCGGTGCGCGAACTAACTTCTTCTCTTGGCTTGGGTCGGACGAACTTCTTCACTTAGGCCAAAGCGAACTGGCCTCTCTTGCCCGCAAAGTGGGCGACCGAACTCTGGCCGCCCGTCCGGCGGTTCCCTCCGCTTGCCGTCGCGGCTTAACTCTCCCGCCCGTCCATGGCTGAACTGATTTCTGTCGGTTGGGGTCTTGTTTTTATTGACCCAGTCAAAACTGGGGTGGGTTCTTCGATAATTCTAAATACGTATCCACCCTTCTTATTTCTGGTTAGGGATTTTTCATTCTTTTCCATTTTCGGTAACTCACTCTCACTCCCACTCTCTTACTGTGCCTCTGAGGGGCGTGTGCCCGCTTCCCTGCTTCTTCGTATTGGCTTCTCACACTTTCACTTCTGACAGGGCGTCAACCGATTCTCCTCGTGCGTCATGTGATCGCTCTCGGCCAATGAGGTCCTGGTCGGGTATATTTCCTCCTCCTTCGTGTGTCATGTGATCTTATTTAGCCAATGACGTCTTTAGTCGGGCGTGGACAGTTTGTGGCTTTGTTTTGGGAAAGAAATACCTTGCTTAAAAAACAAAAATATTAATTTAAATCGCCCTTATCATGAGTGACTGAGGTGACACCTTCGGCTTTTTAACACATGGTATTTGTCAAGCAGTTTATCGCTAATTGGATATGATCTAAGAAAGGAATTTCTCAGACTCGTTGGCGTTTCTGAGACGGAATAAAAATATCTCAATTTCTCTCCGCTCGAAGGTCTGATAATAAAAATCTTTATTATCTCAAAAACATTTTGCCACCTTGTGTGGGCTGGTTCTAATTCTGAAGACTGTCTGTGTTTTCGTATTAATGGTTTGTCTTCATATCCTTAGATACACTTCCCCACCCACTTAGACCTTTACTATCATTCCAATGACACACTTCCCTCTTGTTACTTATCAATATTTTCATTGTCCCTAAACTTCGTTTCTCCTTTTCCGCCTTTCTTTCTTTTTCCTTGGGTGACAACCAATTGATAACAAACTTCCATTTTTCGCGGATCCGTGGAAATCGGTCAGATGCTTGACCTGAATATTTTTCGACACCTGTTATCTGTCAGCCGTGCGTGTGTGCTCGCCTATGACCTGTTTTCCTATTATTTTTTCTTTCTTTCTTCTTCGTTTTCTTTCTTTCTTCAAGATCGCTTGAATGTAAAGAAAGAATTATTCTTAAAACCCAAAATATTTTTCGGCCTTAAATAATTATTAAATGGTTGATAAACCGTAAAAAACAAATCATATATCTATGAATATTTCTCTCAGCTCGTCAGATATGCATGGTGCCACAAAACTCTCAAGTCTTTTGTTTTTTTTTTTTGCTTTTTTTTTTCTCGGAAAAAGAGGTTGTCTTTTGCTTTTAAATCTAAATTAATTGTTCACTCTCCAGTAATTTACAATCGCCCGATGATATGCATTGATATGCGTTGAAACACAACTGCAATTGTGTAGCAATTTTAAAAAGTTTTGGTGTAATATCCTAAAATATATATATATATATATATATATATATATATATATATATCAGTATCATAGGTATATATAAAAACAAAAATTCAGTATTATGTTCTAAAATCAACTCAATGCCACTTATCAAGCATCAGATGTGACCAAGCTGTGGAATATAATAGTTTTCATACATTTATCGATGTTTCATTATTCACAAGTATTTTTCAATTTCAGAGTTTAAATGACACTATATTTTAAAATTAATATATATTTGCATTATTTCTACTTCAAAATTTTAAAATTTATTTTTTATTTATTTATTTATTTATTTTTTTTTTTTTTAATCATCCTGTGACCTTCCAGGATCATCTTTGTAACTCTCATTTGAGTTGTAACCATTAATTGTGAAACCACTGACATGTTCAGCAACTAGTTGGTTTTCTGATAAATTCTTATAAAAATGTTGATAAAAACGCCAAACATTTGAATATAGATTTGAACAAAATAACAATAGTACGACCTGTTTTGATCCTCTTGATCTCTGTGACTAATGTTTGTTTACACTATTTACATTGTTTGAGGTGTTGTCCTCATCTTTGTTGCCATATTCATGACGTCTTGGCTATTGTACACTCCAGCCTTTTTCAGGTGATTGTGTCCTTGAGGACACATGACCTACTGGATAAAAGTATTGATTGAATCCAGTGACTTGATGACTTCAATACCTAGTGAAGATGAACAAAACCTTGGAGAGTTGAATTAAAAGGGAGATAACTTATACTGAGATATCTGAAAGAGACATAGCACGTGGAACTAGAACAATCTATTCTGGTGGACAAAATAAAGGGTTTAGTTCGAAATTCCAATTACCTGAAGAAGGCTGAAGTATACAATGGCTGATACATTGTGAATATGACAATGAAGATGATAACAGCCTGAGCAATGTAAAGAGTGTAAACAATTACAATACTCATTTAGGCTTTTGACAGACCGAGGGTCCACCCTCAACATCTCTTAGACCAAAGTTTGAATACACAAACATTGGTCTATATTTCCGGGATGAGGTGGAAAATGTGGACCCTCACTCTGTCAAAAGCCTGAATGAGTATGCTGCTTTTTAAGTAGCTGTACGCCATGCAAAAGACAGTGTCTTTTGCATGGGATACTTATATGACAAGGTAAATTGTTATGCTTGATCATCTTCTTTTTCATTGATTTTTCTGTTTCTCAGTCATTGGCGATCTGAAGGGCGTGGTCGGACACGTGCTTGTCCTCATATCAAGACGTACATGCGGGCATCTCCAGATTTTTCTATGGCAGCTTGGTTCCTCGTAACAAGGTAAGCCTCTTGTCGCATACCAGTGTTTTAGAAATAAAATAAAAAAAATGGTGGAAAAGCATTAATAAATAATGACAAGTGACTTTTTCCAAATATTTTCATTTGTTCTCTTTATTTCAGTGCAAATTTGTCGAAAGCAGCATGGGGTGTGTTAGAGAAGAATGGATCACAGCTCATGATCCGATCGTACGAGGTTGGCGTTATGTTTCTTCCGAATTTATTTGTAAGCGAAAGTTTTTTTTCTTTTTCTTTCTTTCTTTTTTTAATTTTCCCCTTTAAATTAAAAATAAAAAAGGGGCGATAATTTTTCTTGCGTAATTATCTCCCTTAGATACTGCACTTTTTAAAATGTTTTCATTTTGTCACTTGTTTACAGAAGTATTTTCATTGTTTTATGTGTTATTCGGATTGTTATCATTTTTATAATTTTATTTTTATCTTTTTATTTTACTTGGAGATTCTCAAAAAAAAAGAAAGTTTCTAAGAATTACAGAACATTCTTAGATTTCTTAGTTCATCAGAGTCATCTCCCTTTAGTTGTTCGATTATCAAAATTTTAATCGATATTGATCGTAGTTTGAGTATTTCCTAAACAGTAAAAGATTTTGTTTTTAATGTCCATCGCGCCCTTCATAAAAAGACTTTGTTGTTTTGTCAAAAAAAAAATAAAATAAATAAATTTGGCGGTGAAAAATAGTTGCTAGAGTCAAGGGTTGATAATTGAGTAAGGCTTGCTGATATGCAATGTGGAACACCATTAAATGAAAATGATTTCTAATTTGTATATTACGTTATTAAAATAATTTAGATTTTAATAGGTTGGCCCATATTTCTGTTTAGTAAATGTGCCAACCATATTAAATCCTGAGGATTTCAAAATATAGTTTGATTTCCTGGGATAAGGAGTCAACATTATTTACATTCCAAATGTAAATAATTTAAATTTTAACAATGTATTTTATTTGGTAAATCTGCCCGTCTTTTGTGAATACACAATAAATGTTGGAATTTTAAAATCTTGACTTTTTACCCCCCCCCTTTTTATTATTATTAAGAGTTTTTTTTTTCTTAATAGTTTGTTTGAATTTCTGGGATGAGGAGTTATTATTTACATTCAGACTATTGTCCTCATCTTTGTTGTTATTATCACAAGATTTCAGTTGTTGTATTCACTAGCCTTCTTCAGGTATCTGTTGATCTTGTTTTTGTACTGCTCAGTTATTGCTTGCAAATTCACAAACCAGTGCTTTTATAGTCTGATGGATTAATGAATTTTGTGTTCTTGACGTTAGAAATGCTGTTGGTGGTGTCTAAGAATAAAATCAAGACTAGGCATTGGATTCTACCTCAGAGCCCTTAGAATATGTAGCCCAGAATACATAGGTGAAAAAGAAAAATACATTGAAAAAACATTTAGACTTTTTCACTACTTGCATCATTTTATCCTCAATGCTAGAAAATGGGCATAAAAAATCTACAAATTTTAAAAAATTAGACACCTCCAATAACACTTCTAACATCGGCAATGCAAAATTCATAATCTGGCCCTTAAATACTCTATCTACAAAATTTGAAAATAAATTAGTTATCGCTAATACTAACGTTTTTACCACCACGTCCAAGACAATTGGAGGTATAATTAAGAAAAATAATCCAACACTACTACAGATGCTGGGATTTATCAAATAAAGTGCAATTTAGATATACTTATATTGGAGAGACATCTCTGTCTAAAAGCCTGCATCATTGAACACAAGAGAGACCTACATTGGGACAACCATTTAAACTCACTTGTTATACACATGAACAAGACTGGCCATAACTTTTTTTTTTTTTTTTTTTTTTTTTTTTTTTACAAATGCCACCCAAATAAAAAAAGAACAAAGAATTATGTTGAAAATACTTTGAGGGAGTCCTGATAAAAATTTTACCAATTATGAATATGCGTCAAAAACATATTATATTACCAACCTTTATCAAATCCATTCTTCAAGAATCTAGCATATATTTAACTACCATGATTGGTGTGAGACACAAAATTGTTTCCAAATCAAAAAGTGGACAAACTCCAAATATAAATAATTCCTACTAGACAGAAACACACATTATCATTCTAATCCCACATAGACAAACTTGAATTATGTTACATTTACGCACATAAATTATACAAATGAATGCTGCTTAACTAATGCACATGAGATCACAAATTTCTTTTCAGATATCAATCTCTAATGATGTTTTTTAAAAAAAAATAAACATGTTAAATTTATAAATGTTGTCTATTTGTCTTATTCTGTTGGATTCTGAGATATATAGAAAGAGAAAGAATGTGTATTTTTTCTTTTTGTAACTCTGACAGAAAATCATGACATAATCAAGATGTTGATGTCTTGCACAACTTCCAAAAAACAATTAGAAAGGAATGAGCAGTAACTGAATTTGGGAATCTTATTTTACTGAAAAATTTTTTTAAGAGAAAAATTTTATAAATTTCAACTGAAAGTAGCACTACCTGCTTGGTCAATGAAAGTTAATATTACCACTTTTATAGGAAAGAAAGAAAAATTAGAATATTTTATGAAAATTTGATAATACAAAAATCCTTTTTTTTTTTTTTTTTTTTTTTTTTTTTTTTTTTTTTTTTTTCTGTTCTCTCTTTCTCTTTTTTTTTTTCTTTCTCCTTCATTCCATTTTAATTATACAAAACATTTTCATCATTTGATAGTGTGTTATACCAAATCAGCTTGGACATTTTATTTATTTTTTTTTTTTTTTTAAAGTTTTTTAATGAATACCTTTTTAGGACATGCGCCGTCTGAGACTGACATCTGATGTAAAAGAAGCCACTAATTCTGACAAGTCCATGTTCCTACTTCCCTATGACGTGCCACTGACTCGTTATGATAAAGACGGTAGGTGTTAAGCCCCAAAATGAATTTGGCTTTTATAAACTTTCTTTATTTTTGATTGGGCAAGTTGGTTTTCTTCTCCTTTATTTTTGAATGTCTGACTTCCTTGTTATCTGTCAATTTACAGCGTGCGATGGGTAAATTGTCGCCATTTTAATATTTTTAATTTCATGCATGCGTCTTGTTTGTTTCTGATTTTGTCAACTGCGCAGTATAGTGGGGTCAGTTGGGCACCATCTGTGAGAAAAAGAGCATCATGATGTAATTTACTCTGCCAGAATTTTGGAAACTGCATGCTGCATTGCTTTGTATTTGCACTGGAAGCTTCATTATGAACATTATGAGTTTTGGTGTCAATCTGAGGACAGTGCAGAGGATTCAGAAAGAGTTGGATCAGTCTAATGGTTATTACAAAGGTGTTTTGAATGATCACCAGTGATGGCGACGTTATGCCTCCATTCATCTTCCCACAGGGCCTTAGACTCAACACAGAGGCCTTGAGGAGGTAGTGTAGCCCTGGGTCAAGACAGTGACTGCTAGAAGAACCTATATTTGGCAACAGGGTTCTGCACCATGTCAGACAAGCAGGAGAACCTAGTTGTGGCTGTTATACAATTTCTGCAACCATATCACCCCTTACTCCACAGACTGCAGCCCCCTTGATTATTATGCATGGGGCGTAGGTGATCGAGATACCAACAAAACTCCTTGTAACACCAAAGATGAACTGAAGGCAAGGATTATGGCAGCATTCACCAACTTAAATGAGACTGTTCAGAAGAGTTGCAGGAGATTCTGAAGTCGTTTGGCGGATGTGGTTGAAGCCATCAGCGAGATAGATATATATATATATATATATATATATATATATATATATATATTTTTTTTTTTTTTTTTTTTTTTTTTTTGCATAATTTAGATGACAATTTATCCATCGCAACCTCTATCTATCTATCCTTATATATAGATTTTTGCTTCATTTACATTATATTCCTTGTTCAGCCTGCTTTCATACCATCCAAGTATTTAATTCATTAATTATAAATCCAGTCTTAATTATAAAAATAAAAGTGTGGTATTAATTATAGGCTTCAAAAACTTAAATGCCATTTTTTGTGTCCTTGATCCCTTTTGATTTGTTTTTATTGCCCTTCCTCTCTTTTCTTTCCCTCTCAGTAACCCCTTGCACCCTAGTGACTATTACTATTACTACCTTGCTTGAGGTGAAATGATTAAAAAAGAAAAAAAAAATTGTCGCAACTTCTTGGGACAGTAGATTGCCTTCTACATAATTTTGAATTCTCTGTTCTTTTCTTAAACTGGTTGCCACTCAAGGCTACAGAACCCAGTCTACCCTGCTATTTAACCCATAGCTGATGTGGTGGGAAAGAAATGGATTCCTACCCTTTCTCAAGGGCATTTGTACAAAAGTGAAAGCAGCAGACTAGGTTAGAGTTTGAACCTGGCATGCTGGTTCCACTTTCTGCATGGATAGATGCGCACCCGTTATTTTTAAATAAATTACTTTTTTATTTGTAAAAATTTTGAAAATCACTGCAAATTTTCTGTTTTGTAATTCAGTGAACTTTTAATCATTACTCTCTTTCTCTCACATGCACATAGGTGGAAATAAATAAATATACACACACACACACACACACACACACACAAGTATAGGATTGGTGTATACGGAATAAATTCCAATAACCAACAATTACTATTCTTAAGAGTGCTCAATACAGAGTAGAGCGAATATAATTATTTAAAGATTATAACATAAATATGTTATAAAATCACTACAAAAATAGCCATTTTGTTTCAACACCTAAATTGTCTTATCAAGATACAAAGATGAATGTTGAATGTAAAATAAATGATTTTTCATCCTTTCTTTTTAATTAACAATTCTTTGAAGGATTGTTAATTTACAAAAGATAGAAAAACCATTTATAAAACATTCAACATTGGTCACTTGATAAGACATCGGAGGTGTTGAAAAAAACCATTATTTTTGTAGTGATTTTATAACATATTTTGTTATATTTTTATATAAATAATTATATATCCTCTTATTCTGATCTTCAACATTAAATCGTCTATGGTGTGTGTATGTCACCACGAAATGTATCTTTATGCATTAGACATCCGACAACATTCATATTTCTCTTACTTAAACCCCTTCCACTCACCTCTCCTAAAATTCTCTCTGTTAAGTTTTAATCTCCCACCTTCTGTCGTCTGTTATCCCTCTCTTTAGCTCTAACATTCGTCCCACACCCTCATACTTACACTCTCTCTAAATTCTGTTTTTATTTCCGGAGTTGTTTTTTCTGTTTTCTTTTTGAATTTGTAGGTCTGATGAATTGGATTGTATTTACGATTCCAATGGAATAAATCATGACCATGGAATATTAGTGTTTAAGCCTTTTTATTATATCCTTACTCTGTCCTGGACATTGAGTTCTACCTGGATTCTATCCTCTCGGAATTTTTTATTCAAAAAAATATGCACCTATGTATGTATGCACGTATTTATTTATTTTTATATATATATATATATATATATATATATATATATATATATATATATATATATATATATACATATTTACAACTAATATTATCAATATATAATGTATATGTCATCCAGATAGACTGTTTTGCAGCTCATCAGTGTGATTAGACATCCGATTGCCTCAAGCCAGGATCGATATATATGTATATAGGATGGCACTAATGGTCCACTAATAGATAGAACATTTTCTTTCAGTATATATACCCTTATATTTTCTTTGTTACTGTATTCCCTTTTTTTTCCTCTTTTAGTCATTTGCTTCATGTCAAGACAAATAAGTTTAAATTTTTTTTTATAAAGACTTTGAATCTCTAGACTGCTAAACATTAACTTCACTGTAAACAAGAAAAGATGAATATGTCTACTCAAACATTATATTTAGTGGATAAATGTCTTTAAGAAATAATGCTGAAAAAAATCAATCAGTTGCTTAAATGACTTCCATAATAATGATGATATTTTTAAGTGCTTATCTTTTGATTTTCAGATGCTCCTTGGATTTATGACCAGGCGTACAAGGAACTTCCTGACACTAATGGCATGATGTGGTGTCCTAGTTTTTTATGAGATCTTTTTCACGTCTCTTCTCTTTTCTCTTTGGCAACTAAGGAAAATCAGTAGAAAGCAAAAAGACAATCAGCAATTAAAAACAACTGGTTTGTTTTAAGACCTTACTCACTTGGTCTAGGTGGGTAGAAAAAAAAAAAACAATAAATATTATATAATGACTTACCTCCCTTGGGCTAAAACTTTTTCTACATGAGAAAGAATCCACTTTTGTTAATTTGGGGGTATAGTGGGTTAATTTGTCACTGGATTTAAATACAAAGAAACAGCTGCTGTCTACAGGAAATTTCAATGTTTCAAGAAAACACTTGGAATCAACTGGCTGATTCTCAGGAATGGCTAGGCTCGGAGAATCCAAGTCTAAGATCGTTATAGCAGAACTTGTTTGGAATAACTGATGTGACCAGCAGACAAGCTTGGATCGACTTGAGTGATTTGATAAATGTGGATAAATAGAGGAATTCTTTTTTTATTTTTATTTTTTTGATAGACTAGTCTTGATATGTTAAGTTAAAATCTGTAGCATTATTGATTTAAAAAAAAAAAAAAAAAAATGAAGTACGAGGAATCTTAAAATATTAGGCTTAGTTGTTTATAATCAGAAGTTTTTAATTTTTGGATTTTCTCTCTTCTGAATTCATTGACATTTAACACTCATGCTGTTTGGATAACATGAATGGAAACTGACAATAATTCAAGATCTAAGAAGAACTTTCTTATTTTCTTTTCCTTCCCTTCGTTCTCCCTTTTCCTTTCCTTTCGTTCTCCCTTTTCCTTTCCTTTCGTTCTCCCTTTTCCTTTCCTTTCTTTTCTTTCCGTTAATGAACATTGGTTGCTTTTTCCTATTTGTACATCCAAATTGAAATTTCTTCTTTTCCTTTTTGCCCATTCTTGTTTCTTTCCTACTGGTAATCCTTTATTGTCTTGTGCAATTTACACTGCAACAGGGAAATCATATCCTCGAAAACAAATCTGTTCACTTATCACTTTCTAGTAAGCTCTCAAAATTGGTAGAAAGAAATTCAGCAAATCCTTCATAATGCACTCTTCCAGGAATTCCTTTGTAACCACTGAATTCTTGGTGGCCATATTTAGCAATTCTTTCTTATTAATAAGCTCTCAAAATTGATAGCAAACTATAATTAAGTGCTGAAAAGTTCTTGGGTCAAGTACTTTGCTAAATTTGACCAAACATCAGATATTTTGACAGTCTTTCAGTACCCACTCATACATTTTCTGAAACCTTATAATGCACCCTTCCAGGAATCATCTCTTAGACACTGAATGCCTAGTGATGAGATTTGACCATTTTTGTTAAATGATAAGCTCTCAAAATTGGCAAGGAAGAAATCTGACCTCTTTTTCTGGAAGAGGTGATTGATGTATGGTGATAGTGAACAAACTTATGTTGTGGACTATTTGTTTGTGCACAGTGGGGTTTGATCCTTGCCAGTTATACCTCCCTTTGGTCCTGTGTCAGACTAAACTTTAGTATAAAGAAAATAAAAACTGTCTTCAGAAAATCTGAAATAACTCAATGTTTTAAGACAACTCATGGCGTCAACTGATTGATTCTCCAAACCAAGCCATTCCTGGTAATCAGTCTGATCCTTGTAGCAGAATTTGTTTGGAATAGCTGATTTGACTAGCAGACACAAGCTTGGATTGACTTTTGAAAAATGTGGATAAATAGAGGACATTTTGAATTCTGTTTTTTGTGGGGGAAGACTAGTTTTAATATGTTGCTAAAAGTCAAAGACTAGCATTATTGATTTGAGAAAAAAAAAATGAAATACACGACATATCCTTCTGAAGGGGATTAGGTATGCTTATTTACACTTCTGGAAAGTTGACAAGTTTGAAGAATGCTGACTATTTGGTTATGCACATTAGAGGTTTGTGCTTCACCAGGTATCCCTCTTTATGGACTTGTGTCAGACTAAACTTGGCTTTGAATATATCTATCCATTTTTGGAAATCTGACCTACTCCTCCAGGATCTACTCCAAAACCTATGCAAATTGTCATGTGAGCCCATTAAATAATCATGTGGCAGCTGTTTTGAATGAATGGAAAAACAGAATTTTCAGGAACTGTTTCCTACTTATAGATTTTAGTCTATGCAAATAAATACCATGGATTTAATAAGGTATCTTCAACTATAAAATAATTCAAGTCTAAATAATTACTTTTATTCTTTAAATTTTTCTAACTTTTTCTAAGTGTCACTAGTTAAAAAAAAACAAAAAACCCCCAAAAACAAAGCAATTTTGGTCACAAACCTATCGTCTAAAATTCAAATCAAGAATTCCTAGAAAATCTTTGTTTCTACATTCACTATATTTTTTTTGAATTGGGAATTGTTTCTATAGTAAATGAAACAGAAAGCTGTGGTCATTCCTTCTGACAGTACAAATGTGTACTGCTTCAGCGCTTTTTAGAATATGAAGATTTCTTTTTGAGGATCTGGATATTTAGTGGACAATTCGTCATAGAAAATGTCATTTTGTTTGTAATATAAAACCAACAACATTGCAGTGCTTAGAAAGCATTGTTTCCCTTTAACTTGACTATGCTAAAGAAATACGTATAAAAGGGCAGACAACTCTTGAATAGAAAAAATGTTTTCTCTTTGTCAAGTACATCCACAAATGTGGTCTGTAGATGGTGAGATATGCAAGATTGAAACAAGTATTTTTAACATAAGCCTTATTGCTTTTTTTTTTTTTTTTTTTTTTTTTTCAATTTTCCCCCCTTTTTTATCACTTTAGTTTGAAAGGGTTTATATATTTGCAAAATGGTTCTCTTTACTAAATCTCAAGGTTCAACCATTTTTTTTTTTTTTTTTTTTTTTCCTTTGAAAATTTGTCAGTTGTGAGGACTAAATCCAATTACCAAGAGAATTCCTATTGATAATGGGAGATATGAAATGAAGGGCGTGGGGGGAAATGCTAGTATGAACAATTTTAAATAATTTGATGATGGAATTGTTTATTTGCAATTGTGCATTTATGTACATATATGTATGGCTGAAAATCCGGGTGATTGTGATGCCACTACCCCTTTCAAAAAATAAATAAAAATTCTTTGTTACTCTCTGCCCATTCTTGTATGTTCAGTTAGAAAAAAATAATAGTTTTTTGTTTTTCTTGATCATTTATGCTGGGTACAAATTTGAATCATTTTCTGTCGTAATTTTGCTTGAATGAAAATAAAGCACTAAAAAAAATTCTTGTGAAAAAATTTCACAAAAGTCAAAAAAAAAAAAATTGGAAAATTACCAAACTTTATTATTTTTTTTTTCTTGACAAATAAATCCTCAAAATACCTTAAAATTTATTTTTAATGTTCATCTGGCAAATTAGAAACTGTATAAATGTGATTCCCAAAAATGTTCTGACAGGCATCCACCATTTGATCAAAACAGACACACACACACACGATTTAATGTACATCTTGATGTCTATTTCTATTGTCCAAAGAAAATTATGAATTTTAGCCCACACCAGCCTTTGTTTGCTAATTGAACATTGATTATCTACAAACTTCTTTTGACTTGGAATAGCTGAATTTTGATCTGAAAGTCTTACTATATAATGTTCAGTGAAGATAATTAAAGTGCACTGATTCACATAGCTCAATGTTTTATTCAAATAGAGCATATAAATTATATACAATAGGAATTAAGATTGTCATGATTATGATCATTTCATTTTACAAATTAAAAATGTGGAGGATTTTCAAACACATGTTAATAAGAAAAATAAAATGAAACTGGCTTAAAATCCAATTTAAAAACCAGGCAGAGGCAAAAAAGAAAACAAAAGAATTGGTGAAAGGACAAGATGGGAAGTGTAAGAGGAGAAAGAAGGTATAGAGAGAGCAGTAATGTCTAGACATGGGAATGGTAAGAGAAGATACATAATGTTCACTGACCTGATTAATATAGAATATTCACCTCGGTTAAATTGAAGTGGAAAATTAGGGAAGATATTTTTTAATAAAAGAATTACTATTAATCCAACATTGAGGGATTAATAATATATTTAAATTAAAGAGAAAAAAATGGAATTATTAATATATTAAAAAATATATTTATTTATTTTCTAGATATTTTTCACTGTGTCTAGACATTACTACACTCTCTATCTTCTTTCTCCTCTTACACTTCCTATCTTGATCTTTCACTTATTCTTTTTTTGCTCTTTCCTTTCTTTTTTGCCTCTGTCTGTTTTTTTTTAAATTTGTTTTTAAGCCAGTTTCATTTTATTTTTTCTTAATTAACCTGATGGGTTTGAAAATCGACTATATATATATATTTTTTTAATTTGTGGGGTGAAGTGAAATAATCTTGATGTCATTTCAATTCCTATTGTATGTAATATATAAGCAGACCACACAGTGAGTGCTGGGAAAAAAAAAAAAAAAATACTGCTTAATGTAAGAGAATAGACTTAAGATATATTAATAAATTATATTGCTGTTGCTTACAGCATAATGCAACATGTGCAAGACAATCATCAGACATAATCATGGAAAAACTTCTTGGAAGTTTCTTGAGTTATATTCATATATTGTATGCCAAAATTTTGAATAATGGTTCCCCATTGTAGAGACAGTGCCATAGAAATAAATTTTGTGTAATCATACAGGGTGGGCAATTTATTTTATTTTGCTAATATTCAATGAATAAAATATGACAAAAATTAGACTATTAATGTTTATTTTTCTTTAAAAGAAAAAAAAAAAAAAATTGATATTTAGTTTCGAATTTAGGCATTTTGTATTTTAAATCAAATTCCAGATATAATGATGTCTGTTTTGGAATTTATTTTAAAAAAGTGGGGTGTCTTTTTTTTATACATTGAAGTGAATCTTCTTATATGGACACATTAAGTTTCATTTGCTTCTCTAGTTTTTGACTCGGACATAATAGCTAATATGTTCTAAGTTTTATAATTTGAATAGAAAATATCTTCAAATTTAATGTGGAATGTGTTCGAGATAGAATTGACATTAATTTCGATTTTATTTGGGAATATATGGAATATTTTGTGGAATTTTACAAAAGGAACAAAACATTTAATTTTTGATATCTATCTATCAATCACAATACAACTCTTGAGTTTCATGCACTATGAAATCATCAGGTAGAAAGGTGTTAGTTGGAAAAGTTACTACTGTTGTTAAATATTGCATTATAATTTAAATTTAGATTCAAACTTATACTTAAAATTAGAAATTCTAATTTAAAAAAAAAACGCCAAAAAACAACAAAACAACGGGGATGTGTTGAGGGACAGTTTCGTCTCGGGAAACACCAGCCCGACCCCCTTTTATACGGGGAATTTTTGGCCGAGACAACGGGCTCGGATAACCCACATTAAATTCGGCCATTTGCCACATCTGACCGGTTGGTAGATAACCTACAGTTGGAGATTCATTGTGGTATTCACTTGACTACTACTACGCGCCACTGGCGAATCTTATATGTGTTGTTCTTGTTCTAAGTATTATCATTCATTACCAACCTTCGTTTGATTATTCTATTCAGTAACCTTCCCTAGGTTACAACAATAACAAAAGAAGCCAACAAATTCGTAAAGGGAATTTTAAGTAGATGGCAAAAAGCAAGTAAGGCATAAGCCACCTATTGCAGCGGTAAAGAAGTTAAAAAAAGAAGTCAAACGCAAATACTGTGGACGAAATGCAGAAACAATGGCAAAATAAACCTCTTTAGGGTCAATACTCTGCCCGTATCAAACAAGCTGATTTAGATGCACCCCATGCCCATTAGTGGTCACGTAGTACAGGATTAAAAGCTGAAATCGAAGGTTTAATTCTTTCTGCACAACTGGAAAATATTAAGCAAAAAATGCCATGCTGAAATTGGGGCGCGTCTTATACGTCGCCAAATACATTTTTTTTTTTTTTTTTTTTTTTTTTTTTTATACACAAGTACGCTGCGGAAAATGTCAGGATGACGTTTCTGACCTTAGGTCGCAGGTTGGGATCCGAAAGACAATGAGGATATAATAGGGAACCGATGATGATGATCATCATCATCATCTCCTCCACCTCCTCCTCCATCTAAAAAATGTGGCACATGAGGACATTACTAATTCCAGTTGGTCAATACTCTGCCTGTACCAAACAATCTGATGTAGACACGGCAGTTTCAGTGATGACCGTAAGCACATCAGCTGTAGATCGGGCAAAGCGGAAGCCATATTGCTTGTCTGAGAGCAGATCATGGGATGTGAGGTGGTTAACCACCTCGGTATTGATTAGGGCTTCGAAGACTTTGCCAAAGAGGGGTAGGAGACTGATAGGACGGTAGTTAGAAGGGTCAGAGGGGTCGCCAGAGTTCTTGAAGACAGGAACAACTGAAGAGGACTTCCAGCAGTCAGGAAAACAAGATTCCTTGAGGCAGTAGTTGTATAATTTAGAAAGGGTGGGCGCCAGTTCAGGCGCGCATTTCTTCAAGACAATGGCTGGTATCCCATCTCCACCACTAGCCTTGTTGGGGTCTAAATTGGAGATAACGCCCAATACCAATGACGGGGTTATGTGTAACCCACTCAATAGGGCTTCAGTTCTAAGATGGAAGTCGGGTATGGGTATACCGGAAGAGTCGAACGTCGAGTTGAATGAAAATTTCCGAGCAAAGCATTCAGCTTTGTCGGCAGAGGAGGTCAGGACTTCGAACTGGTTGAACAAAGGAGGTATAGAGGGTTTGCAATTGTTCAATACGCTCTTGCAGAGACGCCAATAATCTTTGGAGCCAAATTTGCGAGATGCGATACGCTCCTTCATCTGAACAGCAAATAGTGACTTAGCATCGTTGAGGACACGTTTACACTCATTACGGGCGGAGGCAAAGAGACATCTATTGCAGTCAGACATGTCGCTACGGAATAGGTGAAAGAAGTGGTTCCTATGGGCGATGGCGGCTGAGCAAGCAGAGGAGAACCAGGGGGAGGAGCGCGACTTGAGCCTATATTTCCTTGAGGGGGATGAAAGCGTCGATTCCATCTTTAACCCAGGAAGAGACCTCGGAAGCACATTCGTGAACGGGGAGCGTAAAGACACGATCCCAGGGGACGTCGCGGAGGAAATTACGGAACGCGTCCCAGTCAGCTCGTTGATAATAGACCGAAGTTCTAGTGGTAGGAGGTTCTTTGCAGGGGGTGGAGTTGAAGGAGATGTTAACAGATACTACCGCATGATTGAATTGTGTTCAGAATATTTAGATTTTGGCATTAAATAACCCATAGATATGTTGATATGTCGTTAGATAAAATCAACCCATCAACCAGCCAAAAAGTGCAAGCAACTATATGGATCAAATTCCTGACTACCCTAAAATATGTGAATTAAAAAAAATCCTACTTATAGGTACTTTTCACATTTTGTGCAGATTTCTCGCCATGCAGCACCCACACTTACACATTTCTTCCTCCTCGATTGCATGGCACCTCATCTACTTGTAACTTCTGATGCAAGAAAAATTGTCTCCTGAAGTTTCTTTGAGTGCAGCGTTGGGGGGGGGGGTTAACCCGTAAACAAAGCAAAGACCAAACATTGTAACAATAACACAGTGGAAGTCACAGAGAGTCTTTAGATGCTTACATGAAATAAAATTTGTGTTAAAGATCAATAATAAGACTAAAATACATTTGATAGACCCTAATATATAAAATTGATATCAATAATATGATGGAGTCATTAATAATCTTTAGATACATACATGAAATAAAATTTGGGCCAAAGGTTTTGATCTAATGAATATGCATAAACCTGGGTTCCCCCTCACAGTAATATAATTAGCTGGTGTCCGCCATAAATACAGACTGATGTGGAGGTACATTGGTCTACGCTATTGCCTATGCCTATTGCCTACGACTACGACGAAGACCAGTCCATGACGGTTACCTGCTAGATTTGTCCTACCCGGTTACAGTAGCCAAAACCACTTAGCTACTTCGAACAAATATATCCCTTTCCGGGACATATCAGGTTTGTAAAAAGCGAAAGTATATTCGACACGGTCGATTAATGGATATCGGCTCGGATTGAGGAATCAGAGAGTCGAGTTCGGATTCCAGTCGAATCCATTACATTCACTTATATGCTAATACCCTTGGGAAAGGTATGAATCCTCTTCTTCTCCTCCAGCTATGGGTAAAATAGCAGGACAGACTTGGATGGCAACTGGTCTACCGCAGAAAGAAATGGCAACCTACTGAGTATAAAAATCTGCCTCGTCAGTCATTTCTCGAAAGATACATGATCGCCTAAGCGTGTATCACGCATGGCACATAACTGACTGAATTAATTCATTTGAGGTACGAACATGTTTTGTCTTGCTGAATTAAGATAGTAATGGTAATATTAACCGTTTCCTTATAAACATTCATTGATCAAGCAGCCAATTCTGTTGTCGTTTGAAATTTATAGAACCTTTCTCTTAAAACAATTTTTCAGAAAAATAAGTTTCTTAAGTGCAGTAATTGCTATCGATCTTTTCAGTATTAATCGCGCATTCCTTCCCAGTGTGGAATGTCAACATCTTGATTACGCCATTATTTTCGATTTGAGTTCCATGTGGCATCCATTTTAGTTATTGCTGCTGTTGGTAGTTTTCAAGTTACTTGCTACAGTTCTTTGTAATTCTGTGACGCCAGTCCACAGTGTTCAAAGAAAGCCGATCTCTGCCAAGTATCCTTAGGCTTTACTCGCTCAAAACCTTTTTTTTTCACCATTAATCTTAGGAATCGATTGTATATAGCTGGCAGTTTAGATAATTCTGGACGGGTTTGGCGCCAGACATGCCATCCATATAATAGTCTCGATCTGATGAGGCTATTTATGAACATGACAAGCTGTAAAAAATACTTATGATACAACCAAAGAACTTTTACAGACAGTTACCTTTGCAGGTGAATTTTGATTCGATCAATTATTGATCTGCGGATGAGTATAGATAGGAAAACGAGTGGGAAGTTTTTTTAGATTGCCAGCAACCCTCTCGCATTCATGGAGGATTTTCACTTAAGGTATTTTTGGAGATGATTTTTGAGCACTGGTCGTTCAAAGCGTTTAGAATGTTGAGAAATGTCAATTCAGAAAAAAAAACAATCTATCTATCTATCTATTTCAATCTCTTCATAAGTATCTATCTATCTATCTATCTATTTCAATCTCTTCATAAGTATCTATCTATCTATCTATCTATTTCAATCTCTTCATAAGTATCTATCTATCTATCTATCTATCTATCTATCTATCTATCTATTATCAATCTCTTCATAAGTATCTATCTATCTATCTATCTCTTTCAATCTCTTCATAATCTATCTATCTATCTATCTATCTATCTATCTTTCAATCTCTTCATAAGTATCTATCTATCTATCTATCTATCTATTTCAATCTCTCTCTTCATAAGTATCTATCTATCTATCATCTATCTATCTATCTATTTCAATCTCTTCATAAGTATCTATCTATCTATCTATCCATTTCAATCTCTTCATAAGTATCTATCTATCTATCTATCTATCTATTTCAATCTCTTCATCTATCTATCTATCTATCTATCTATCTATTCAATCTATCTATCTATCTATCTATCTATTTCAATCTCTTCATAAGTATCTATCTATCTATCTATCTATCTATCTATCTATTTCAATCTCTTCATAAGTATCTATCTATCTATCTATCTATCTATCTATCTATTTCAATCTCTTCATAAGTATCTATCTATCTATCTATCTATCTATCTATCTATTTCAATCTCTTCATAATCTATCTATCTATCTATCTATCTATCTATCTATCTATCTATCTATATTTCAATCTCTTCATAAGTATCTATCTATCTATCTATCTATCTATCTATCTATTTCAATCTCTTCATTATCTATCTATCTATCTATCTATCTATCATCTATCTATTTATCTATCTCTTTCATATCTCTTCATATCTATCTATCTATCTATCTATCTATTTCAATCTCTTCATAAGTATCTATCTATCTATCTATTTATCTTCATCTATCTATCTATCTATCTATCTATTTCAATCTCTTCATAAGTATCTATCTATCTATCTATCTATCTATCTATCTATCTATCTATCTATCTATCTATCTATTTCAATCTATCTATCTATCTATCTATCTATCTATCTATTTCAATGTCTTCATAAGTATCTATCTATCTATCTATCTATCTATCTATGTGCTATTTGCCTAATCTCTTCATAAGCAGAGAGGATCTATCTATCTATCTAGGGTTTCGTTTTAATCTCTTCGGGTTTAATGGGTTTTATTTTTCTGGGCCTATCTATACCTATCTATCTATCTACATTCAATTCTGTGGGTGAATTCATAAATACCATCTATCTATCTATCTATCTATCTATCTATCTATTTCAATCTCTTCATAAGTATCTATCTATCTATCTATCTATCTATCTATCTATTTCAATCTATTTCAATCTCTTCATAAGTATCTATCTATCTATCTATCTATCTATCTATCTATCTATCTATCTATTTCAATCTCTTCATAAGTATCTATCTATCTATCTCTTTCAATCTCTTCATAAGTATCTATCTATCTATCTATCTATTTCAATCTCTTCATAAGTATCTATCTATCTATCTATTTCAATCTCTTCATAAGTATCTATCTATCTATCTATCTATCTATCTATCTATTTCAATCTCTTCATAAGTATCTATCTATCTATCTATCTATCTATCTATCTATCTATTTCAATCTCTTCATAAGTATCTATCTATCTATCTATCTATCTATCTATCTATCTATCTATCTATCTCTTTCAATCTCTTCATAAGTATCTATCTATCTATCTATCTATCTATCTATCTATCTATCTATCTATCTATCTATTTCAATCTCTTCATAAGTATCTATCTATCTATCTATCTATCTATCTATTTCAATCTCTTCATAAGTATCTATCTATCTATCTATCTATCTATTTCAATCTATCTATCTATCTATCTATCTATCTATTTCAATCTCTTCATAAGTATCTATCTATCTATCTATCTATCTATTTCAATCTCTTCATAAGTATCTATCTATCTATCTATCTATCTATCTATTTCAATCTCTTCATAAGTATCTATCTATCTATCTATCTATCTATCTATTTCAATCTCTTCATAAGTATCTATCTATCTATCTATCTATCTATCTATCTATCTATCTATCTATTTCTATCTATCTATCATTTAAGTATCTATCTATCTATCTATCTATCTATTTCAATCTCTTCATAAGTATCTATCTATCTATCTATCTATCTATCTATCTATCTATCTATCTATCTATCTATCTATCTATCTATTTCAATCTCTTCATAAATCTATCTATCTATCTATCTATCTATTTATCAATTTCTCTTCATAAGTATCTATCTATCTATCTATCTATTTCAAATCTCTATCATCTATCTATCAATATCTTCATCTATCTATTTCAATCTCTTCATAAGTATCTATCTATCTATCTATTTCAATCTATCTATCTATCTATCTATTTCAATCTCTTCTTCATATCTATCTATCTATCTATCTATCTATCTATTTCTATCTATCTATCTATTTCTAATCTCTTCTTCATAAGTATCTATCTATCTATCTATCTGTGGCTAGGATCAAAGTGTAGTATCTGTGCTTTGTAGAGCTGCCGAGCGGGTGTTCGTCGAACTCTCTGCTTGCAGAGAGGAACCCGGACGAGGCTCTGCCGAAGGGTAGGGTTTCGTTCGGGGAGGTTGACGGAACTAGCCCGCTTGGACGGGTTTAGATGGGTTTTATTTTTGGCTGGGCCTACGGGCTCGGACATACCCACATTAAAAAGGCCTTGTGCCACATTCAATTCCTGTGGGTGAATTGATAAATACCATCTATCTATCTATCTATCTATCTATCTATCTATTTCAATCTCTTCATAAGTATCTATCTATCTATCTATCTATCTATCTATCTATCTATCTATCTATCTATCTATCTATCTATCTATCTATTTCAATCTCTTCATAAGTATCTATCTATCTATCTATTTCAATCTCTTCATAAGTATCTATCTATCTATCTATCTATTTCAATCTCTTCATAAGTATCTATCTATCTATCTATCTATCTATTTCAATCTCTTCATAAGTATCTATCTATCTATCTATCTATCTATTTCAATCTCTTCATAAGTATCTATCTATCTATCTATCTATCTATCTATCTATCTATCTATCTATCTATCTATTTCAATCTCTTCATAAGTATCTATCTATCTATCTATCTATCTATCTATCTATTTCAATCTCTTCATAAGTATCTATCTATCTATCTATCTATCTATCTATCTATTTCAATCTCTTCATAAGTATCTATCTATCTATCTATCTATCTATTTCAATCTCTTCATAAGTATCTATCTATCTATCTATCTATTATCAATCTATTTTCATATCTCTTCTATCTATCTATCTATCTATCTATCTATCTATTTCAATCTCTTCATAAGTATCTATCTATCTATCTATCTATCTATCTATCTATTTCAATCTCTTCATAAGTATCTATCTATCTATCTATCTATCTATCTCTTTCAATCTCTTCATAAGTATCTATCTATCTATCTATCTATCTATCTATCTCTTTCAATCTCTTCATAAGTATCTATCTATCTATCTATCTATCTCTTTCAATCTCTTCATAAGTATCTATCTATCTATCTATCTATCTATCTATCTACACTTTACTCTTTTTCGCAGTCAGCTAGTTTATAAAAATTAGGTAATTCTATCTGTTGTTGTTCTAGTGTCAAATAGCAGACAACCAGAAACAAGAGGGATTTAACATTTGCCGATTTGGCGGTAATTTCGCCAAATTTCGTCGAGCCGCTCCTCCGTGCCAGTTTTTACAGTTGGCCATTTACTTTGTGTTGTTCAAACAAACATTTCTCAGCAGACAGCAAAGTGGCTTCATTCAACTGGGCCGACAGAATTTGGCAGCGACGTTTGCACTGGTGTGCTAACATGTACCCAGTGCCCCACACAACTATGGAAGGCCCTACGAATAATAAAACAGAGAATCTTACCAAAACCTTTAAGGGCTGATTCAAAGGAATTTTATTATTTATCAAGGTGATCTCTTTGATGAGATCTTGTTTCAAATGCGGCTTGAACTTTTCCATAACCAACTTTAGGGTTTCTTGGCCTCCACGAACGGAGTGACATGGGAATGAAGTGAGCGACACGGGTTCAAATTCGGGTGATACAAACAGTATAGTGTTCATAATGTTGAAGGATTGATTTGTTGTTCAGCTTCACCATCCTTCTCATTTATCTTCAATTCCTGTCACCTCTTCTTTCATTCCCGTTCTGGGTATGTCGATAAACTACATCCGCGTCCTGGACGATAAACTATGTCCAACAGTAAGGCCTCTGATCAGGAGGTTTTGAGGAGCTCTTAATTACTGGTGTTCCCAGTTCCACCCTGACCCGTGGTGGTAGCATCTGTTAGGGTCCCAACGATGGGCAAATAGTTAACCCCCAAAAATGGGTTTAAACCCCTTCAATACATTTTTGTGATGAAAAATCATTACCAGCAATATATTTTTGTAAATAATTATTACCAGCCATACATTATTACCAGCAATGCATTTTTGTAAATAATTATTACCAGCCATACATTATTATCAGCAATATATTTTTGAAGAAAAAAAAATATTACCAGCAATACATTTTTGTAAAAAAATATTACCAGTCATGAATTTTTGAAAAAAAAAATTACCAGCTATACATTTTTGAAGAAAATATATTACCAGCAATAAAAATTGTCGACATTAAATAACCCACTGAGGTTGATATACCGAAAAACAAACCAAACCAAACCAATCTTCTTTCATTCATATAACTCACCTCATTCATCGTAACTATTTTAACAGTAATCCTCTATCTTGAGTGGCTCTCGAGTATTGTATTGAGTGAAGGTTTGTATGAAAGATTTCCTTATCTCCTATCGAGACGACCTCGTGTTCGCAATGAAATATAATTTAAGAAAGTATTCCTTTTCCTAGACTAACTGCCAACCAAGATGAGAGAACTCAGTCCACCCTGGGTATTTAACATTTAGCTGGGTGGGCAGACGAAATGATTCATGCCTTCTCCAAGGTTATTAGTGCGAAAATGAGCGTTAACAGACTTGGTCAGAATTTGAATCTGTCTTATTCGGATTATTTCCTTTTAATTATTCTTCGATGTACCGTGTCCCTTCAGGACGTGGCCGATCATGCCTCTCCACAGCTTCTTGTCCTTTTAGCTCTTAAGGTTTGTCTTTTTTTTGGTATCTCTTCTAATCCCTGTTCTGTCATCCATTTACCCAAACTTGAGGTTGGTTACTCGTTATTTCCCTCTGTTCCTCTTCGCTTCAATATGTCATGTGTGTATCAAATTCTCCAAGCCCTCTTTTCTCATTATGTATCTTTGAAATTTCAATATTTTCTTTTTGATTCTAAGTATAAGCATCATTGTTGTTTTTATTTACTTTAAACTTTCACGTTGCTTACGTGTTCAGTTCATGGTATTCTCATCATTCTTTTTTAGAATAACGTTTCTGTGCTCTGAAATCTCTTCATCAGTAAGGAGACTGTTCAGTATCCACTGCCATATAGAAGGACCGATATTGCATAGTAATACTACAGTATCCCAGAACTCGTAATTATGCTCGCTCGGTTCTTGGAATAACTGACAAAAGATATTACAGCCCTTGAATTAAAATAAATAAAATAAAAATGTCGCAGGTAAAATCTGTGATTAGTGTGTCAATTGAATGAATAAAATTTCTTGGGAGTGATTATTTTTCCCACGAGGAGATGAGTCTAAACTTGCATGTCTAACGGCCAAAAAAAAAAAAGATCGAAATAGAGTATAAGAAAGGTCGGTTTCATGCCTTTGTATAGATTGAATACAAATGTTATCGTCAAACCGAGAACTGGATTTATAACTCGTATCATAAACAATGTAAGAACTTGTCTACTCTCACGGGGGACTTACGGCCATATTATGTTGAAACAGCAGTTTTCGTGCGATCACCGAAGTTAAGCAACATCGAGCTTGGTCAGTACTTAGATGGGAATACCAGGTGGTGTAAGCTTGGGTAACGGTTCGGAATTCTTAATCGGAGAGCTGAGTTCCCGTTATTGTCTGGCTCGTTATATTC